GTCGGACCGGTTGGCTTGGTTTAACCAAAAAAGACATGGGAATTTTAGGCGTAAGATTCTTTTTATTCTCTTACGATATTTCTAGTTAGCCCAAGACGCGCATCCACCAGATAAGCATATAGTTGTGATCCTCAAGTTCAAGTCGCCAGTGACTAATAGTATAGAACAGACAGAAGACCTTCTCCGCGGGTGGTGAACCGGATTATTCCGATTAAACAGATGGCACTCCTTCCTACCTCTGCTTGGAAACCTTAGCTTGACTTCATTCCTTCAAATAAGAATCCTCATTCATTCTAGTTCAGGTTTTCAGCTTTAGTTATCACTTCTAGCATCTTAGCTTGAAGATCCAAGTAAGTGTATTCTTAGAAACCCCCTCGCCAGGGAAGGATCCTATGGGAGGTGGGAGGGGGAGGGAAGAGTGGGAGGGTAGAGGGAAGGGGGTGCACCATAGATTGGAACTACGGGCTAGAACGCATGGATGCATCCTTCAAACCGGAGCGGCGCTTCGAGTGGAATACTATGCATAGATTCAATAAAATTGGATTGGAAAGTGGAAGGAGAGGTCTTGGAGTTAGCTCCCTCTTTCCCAACTAATAAGCTCATTGAATGTGAATGAAAATCGGATAATGTTTCCGAATCGGCTGTGCTCCTTCCACTTCTTTCATAGCTTGGGGGGGTAGGCTTTTAATAATAAAAAAAATATCAGTAATAAGTAAGATACCACATCTTTTGATGTTCAGCAAAGAGGAATCATAGCCTCGAAGCGGCGAACTAGACCAGAATTGGAAGTAAGCGCGTAGATGGCAATTTATCCTTATTTATGGACTTGGAACTCAGTCTGTGGGCAGTCAAGACATTAAGTAATCAATGAATCGAGTAGTCAACATTTTCAAATAAGACAGAGAAGACCTCTTTAGCCGGGGAAGACCCTTACTCAGAGAATACCCCCATTGACGAATAGGGCGGATCTGTCTCCCGATCGGCATCTTCTATCGTGTAATCTTCATCTTATGCTATCTTCTGCTGTCGAAGGATCTGCTGCCGTCGAGTCAGTAGATGAGAAAACTCCTGTTGCTTCATCGGCTTATGCTGGAGTAAATACTACTTTTGCCGTGGAACTGGTTTCCGGTGTTCAACCCGTTTTTCTTGTCCAACCGCCTGCTGCAGAGGAGAAAACTCATGCCGCTGACTCAGACGCTGCGGTAATTATTGATTGATGTAGCTTCATCGTCTGTTTCCTGATGGTCTTCCCTTCCCCAAGCGGATGCTATCATAAGCCTAAAGATAAGATAATAGTCAGGCATCGGCCTAGAGAATAGGAGTTGGCAGAGATGCTATCGGTCTGGAACTGAACTAATGGAATGGAACTCTTTTCCCTCTTTATATGAAATCTCTTTCACCGTCAATAGTCAGAGTCAGCTTTATTGCCCTAAAATAAAATAGAAGGAATCAAGATAAGGGGAACTTTCCGGATGTCACCGGTCTTTCTTTAATAGAATAAGCTGGGATGTAACTGATCTTTCATTTTTTGGAAGGTTTTCCCAGAGATAAAAAAAAAAGATATGAATTGGAGGAACCCACGTATTTTGAATTCCATTTGGATTCGGATACCTTTCATCCATTGCAAGAGGCGCGGATGTCGTCGGGTCCCGATGACTTTCATTTCTTAGCTGGAAGCATGGCATTTCCTTATATTCGTGACTTTCGGTGGTAAGCGGAAGAGTGATCTGCTAGAAGAATTGTCCCGCCCTAGAAATGGAACTCGTCGGAAGAGGAGTAGCCCAGACATAATGATCGGCAAGCAAAAATGTCGCCGATCGGAGGAAGATGGCACTGACTCGTCTTCTGTCTCCTGACGACCGTGTATTCTATCGGCCATCTCCTAAGAATCTGCTGTATCCTCTCCTTCCTTATACTTATAGGCTGCCGTAAATGATAAAGCTTCCGCCGCGGAACCGCTTTCTGTTGTTGAATCACCCGCTACCGCTGAACAAGATGCCGTGGTACTTGATGCCGCTTCGGGAGGCGGGGACTGATGTTTCCTTATCCGCTGTTTCGGGATCGATTTCTGTAGCTGATAAAAACAACTTATTTAGCTGAACCTGTATCAGATACCATTTCTGTTGCTAAATCAGCAGAGGATCAAACTTCTGCCACTGAAGAATCTGATGCTGAAGGATCTACAACTTCACGTAATTATTTCATTCACTGCGTGGTGGAACGAAATATGTTTCCCGGCCGGGTGCTATCCACTAATCGGACGATTGACAAGTCTGATGTCGCTGAAGATAAAGAGAGAAGTAGGCTTTCACCTAATCGGAAGTTTTCCCCTGCTGGACCTATTGGTACCAGATAAGCCCCAGAGCAAGATCGGACCTAGAACAGCTTTTGTCGTAGATAGCGAAAAGGCCTAGCCAAGAATAAGCTTTTCGGTCGAGGGCTTTGCCCGCCCTAGTTCTGTAGTCAGGAGAAGAGGAACCCGGTCAGTCCCTGTCTTTCCTTATATGTATTACATTTCAAACACTACCAATAGTTGACTTCAAAGCTTCCATTAATACAATAAGATTGGCTGTCGCCGAACCTATAATTTATTTTTTCTATAAGGGAGGGGATGCCGATAGCTTTCTTCGAGGAAGATACCTTCGATAAGTTACCATAGGATTGAATCACCCCGGAAATTTCAATTCAATTCGGTTAAGATACCGTTCATCCATATTTTAGGATACGGGAATGGCACCAAGCGCCGGTCTTTCTAACGGAATAGCGGGAGCCGTACTGATGAATTCCACCTCTGAGAGGGAGGGAAAATCATAGTGCTTAACACATGCAATTCCAAATCAACATCCTGTGCAATCAACATGCTTTTGAAGTTGAGAAAGACCAACACTTGTTAGAGCGTTCGTGCCAATAACATTGGTCACTTCACTTACCTAAAAGATAAGTGAACAATAAGCTGAAAAGTCCCAAAAAGAAAGATAGATAAACTAGACAGCTAGGGCAGAAGACAGCTTCTTGGGGAGAGAGGGTATTACATGTCGAAGAATAGTTTAGAAAACACCCGTTACGCCGACAATTGATAGTGCTAGTACGGAACTAGCTATCAACGCTGCCGTTACACTAGGAAGAGTCTCTATCACCCATAGGCCCAATAGACTGAATTAGTCAGTCTAGCGACTACCCTGTGAGATATGTCCATTAACTGCTTTCCCTTGCTAATGATAGGTTAACCCGAAGATAAGAAGTGATTGGATGAGCGTGTGGTAGTATGAATTCGTTTATGCTGTAGCTGTTTGTGGTGCGGGCTTCAATTCAAAGGCTCCTCATAGTTTGAGATGCGCACTACCATTAGAGTAGAGGAAAAAAGAGGACCCCGAAAGGAATTTTCAACTATCAGAAACCTCATTTAAGAAGGAAGGACACGGGATGCTACAATCATTTTTTGATGGATGGACAAACAAAAGGGGCAGGCCCACACACACTTCATTCATTTTTTAGGTTACTTGTCCTCGAGGTACGATGTTTGTGAAGGCGGTAGATGCTACATTAGAAGTGAAGGATGCAATTCAATTCTTCTGACTGGCGCGGATGATTGTCTTCTTTTGTGATGGAGGTAGGAGAGGCGTAGTGCAGGTTCTCACTGATAACGTTGCTAATTCTTTTTGTATGTTGCGAAAGGCAAGAAATTAGAGCACCGGTCGCCGTGTGCCACTCATTGTATAGATTGACTGTTAGAGGACATTAGACACCGGGTGAAGACGACTATAGAGGAAGGCAAGACAAAAGACATTCAATTTCCTGGAAGAATGGGTCCTCTCCTGTTGGCGAATCTCCTTGCTATTGTTGTTTCAAATATATATCCCATTCCTGCCTGTCCTGCGGCGCATGCGGTACCAGCTCTTGTTCTTGATGTGGCTCTTTCGGAAGTTGCGGAAGATAGTATAGATGCTCCTGTTCTTTCTGCGGCGGTTGTGGATGCGCTTTACTTCTTTCTGAGTATCCCAGTGCTGCTGTCTTGTTCAAGCTATGGATCTTATAAGAGAAGGAGTGTGAAAGCTAGCTCTTGAAAGCAGTGCGAGTTAGGCCCGAAAGCCAATCTCTCCGGTTATGGTTCTTCTGCCACATCCTCTCAAGAACGAGAATTTTCATATCATAAAGGATCATATAATTCCGAGTCTCGATATGAACTAGGTTCTTAGGTATAGTGTATAGTAAGATGTGGAGCAGTCCACCCAACCACAGCCCTTTCTGGCTAGAAAACATCTCCTATCTTTCCAGTGGAAAGAGTAGAAAAGTTGTCAATGACACGTGGTTATCCGAAACCTTGCCTGGCACCACTTCCACACACACAAATCCGAGCTTCATGCGAGATCCATTGTGAGTAATCATAGGAAAGATCGTAATAGAAGAACTTTCTAGCCCGCTGGGATAGTCCTACTTTGGTTACGTTGTACTCCAGTCTTTCTGGGGCAATCAATCCTTCCCTTCTTTCCCCAAAGTTCGTGTCGCGGAGTTCTTTCGAATCAGCAGGGCGGTAAGTAGGTTAATTACTAGTACCTGCTCTTTGTCCCGATCGAGTGGAGTAAGGAGAAAGTGGGGCCTGTACCAATGTTTTAACTGCCAGATCTGTCCCATTTGTTAATGCTTAATAAGATTGAGAACCAGTAGGTGGGGATTTTCATTTCGATCAAGAAATAACATAAAATGGTTAAAACGATCCTACGATCGAAGCTTCAAAGTAAACTGATGTTCTAGCACCAGTAGCGGTGGGAGGAGCCTCACCTGGTCTCTAATAAGGCTTGGGACTAGCAGCTGGGTCAGCAGGACTGTGGTCAAAGTGTTCTGCACACAAGGTCTTTGATCCAGGGATCAAGGAGCGGTTGGTATCCTCAAGGACGAGGTCTGTGGGAAGTGAGACTGTGGCATCCGTTGGGTGGTTTACACCTGTGACCTTTGATCGGAACAACGCCACACGTGATGCTTTGAAAAAGCCGTTTTGCTTT